GGTTTTTTGTTTGCTTTGGTTTGGTTTGGTTTTTTTTTCCCAGTAGGCTAAGCAAATACAGATCTCTGAAGTTCTTTCAACAGGCCATTTTCTCCGCCCTTTGAATTCTTTCATTGGAATCTTTTGGGGCTCTTCTAAGTTTTTCAAAATCTCTTCAAGCATGGATATCACAGTGAGTTGCAGAGCTTTAATGTCCACCTCATCAATGCTCTAAATGTTCCTACTCATTTCTGTTCCTACTTGCTTCTCTCCTGTTAAACACACACGAGGATGGCATTAGCCCTTTTCACTGCAGTGTGTCACTTGAAGTTTTTACTGAGCTGCCTGCCTGCTGTGTTCCTCAAACTGGAGCAACAGTCCACCTTTATTGGACTTGGACAATAATAAGCGACCTATTACGGAAATATATAATAGACAATCAGTATTTTGCTTCCAATTTACATCAGGTTTCTCTAACTGCAGTTGTCACAACTGTTTCAGTCTAATGGCATTCTCCTGGTGTTCAATAAAAATAAAAATCAGTGATTCAGTAGTGTTTTTACCAACTCTTTTAGCATATTTGGGCAGGTTAATGAAGCCTGCTCACTTAGAAATATTTCTTCCAGATAGATGTTGTTTAATATACTCAAGTTAATAGTATAATAGAAAGTTCTTTATCATAGCCCTGTAATAAAAACGGGAAAATCCTGTTTCTATTTAAATACAGAGAGAAATATTTCTTTCATTTACTGTGTTGTTCTAAATCAGGGACCCTGTATTATGCCGAGATTTTTCATATTCCCAGTATAGTTTTAAAATGTTGTATTTTTCATCTGGTTATAGATTTTTTGGGTGGCGCTTTTTTTTTTTTCCCTATTATGTCTGTATTATTCACAATAAAATTTCTCATTTATATTGGTTTCTATCTTTTTCATCCTACTTTCTCTGGGTGTACAGTCTTCTCACTCCTAACTCGTAGCATCTCTCCATCGTTAGACCTGGGTGGGTTTATCTCTTACTGTGGAAAAACGTTGGGCTATCAGATAAATTCTCCATACAGAACAGTCAAATTCGTAATTTTATAGCTGAAGATTTGTTTCCCTCATTTCTGGTTAATATTGACTTTATTATGTATCCATTATATTAGTATGAGAAACAAATTTTGCCTGGGGCTGGCCTCAGTTTGCCTTTCATGAACATCACCTCATTAGAATCAATTAGTCTGTAAGAAAGACCGGCTTCCTCTGCAGTGATTACTTCACCTTTTTCATTGTGCTGACATTCCTATGCAGTGGTGCCTTTTGTATTAGGAAATTATCACGCAGTTTTTTTGGGAACTCTGGCAACAGTTGCATGAGTAGTCCTAAACTGAAGTTCTCCACAACCACACTGTTTTATTTTCAGGCACGGCAAGAAATAATTCATCCTGGTGGTTGATTTGATTTGATTTGGGTTGATTTGTGTTATAATGGACCTCTGCTAGTAATCTGTCACAGCTTGCTTTGTTGCTGCATTCATATTTCACATCTAAATCTTGTGGTTATTGAATTTATTGATAATTCTAAACAAAGTGACAGTATCTCTAACATGATATTTTTCTCTCCTTTGCCCCTTCTCCGTCCCCACCACAGTCTTTCTTCTTGATTGGAGACTAATGTTTAAAACATTCTGTTAAATATTTAAATGTTTGTTAACACAGATTTTTATGAATGAAGATCTATAGTCTCAGAGCCATTGCAATATGCAATTTGTTTATGATTTTAAGTGCTTTACGTTGAATCTGAACTGACGATAGACCAACACTTTCCAATAAATCTGCTTAATCTGAATAGTTAAATCAGTATTTTATCGTGTTAGCCAATTCAGTTGGGCTGGAAGTCTTCAATTAGAGATTTTTCTTTTCCCCTTTGCTCTGTGATTGCTTTATTCTTGAATTTTATAATCCTCTATGAAGGGAATTGTATTCATATCTGAAAGGACCTATGAGCAAGAGTAGCACCTTTTTGTTGTTGATCTCGCTCATAGTTTTGAGAGCCTGGCATTCATTGGAATGAAACTGGGACACTTTGAATGCAATTTGAATGTTACGTTCAGCTGAAAGCAGTTGCTCTTCCTTTCGGTCAGCTTGTCTGGACGTCTTCAGGCAAAAGCAAAGAGCCTCCGCAAGGAGGATATACACAACTATACCACGTAAAGCAGTTATCCACAGGCAAGTACACACAGAGGATTGCTAGGAGTTAACAGGCGTTGGGCTAAGCACTTGCATGCTCACCACCCCGATGGATGAGGCATTCAAAGAGCCGTGCCTGCCCAAGCTGGTGTCAACTAGGAGTAAATATTATTTTGGTAAAATGGGTTCCTTGAGACAAAAGAATCCTTTATGTTGCGAGGATTTATATGGGGTAAAGGAGGAGAGGAATGGTCATCTCATAAAAATGCATGTCAAAATTTTATGGGATAAACTGCAAATTCTGCTGTAAATTAATTGATTATTCATTACCTTTTTATTTGACTTTTTTAAAGGCTTTACAGGCATCATCAGCCTCTACATTTGATAACTCATAATGACTATACAAGAACAACGATACAAAATTATTTTCTCAGTGAAATCAGTGTGGCTTTCTTACTATTTGTTGCTAAAATGATCACAAGTCTTTGTATCCCCACAAGCAATTTTCCAACACCGACATCTGGTTGTATATTTTGCTCTTCAGGGGTTGAGCTATTCTCGTATCTAATCTATATGTTGCTAAGAAAAAATAAATAAGGCAGATAACTGACTATGGCTAAGCTTCTGTCAAAGCGTTTTTAATGAAGCCAATTGCATGCCATCTACCTGGAAGAAGCATACAGGAAAGTATACATGCTTGTTTTCTACCTCTTGTATTTTGGTTTGTGGTACAGTTGCTCTTGATCCCAATCTAATGCAGAAGCTAAAGTAGGATCAACCTTCTATTGTTGCTAGTTATCAATTTGTAGTATTTGGTATCTATTAAATGCATATATGTAAATCTGTTCTTGCTGAATGTCACTTGCAGAAGTATTATTACTGTCATAATAAGACTGCATCCTTGTTACTGAGCATTTAAAGTTATATAGGTAATAAGGTAAAAAGGTCAATACACAGTCTGGAGTACAAAAATTATTCAACATTTTTATCACTGTAAATGATATCTCAAAGACTTTGGAGCTTCCAGCATTTTCTAATTTAAATTAGTGAAGTATTTGGCCATCAGTATGATATTAAGGAATTCCACTTACAGCAAACTACAAGGTTTGTCTCTCCTTTGGGCTTCTACTAGTGCTGCCTACAGGTTTACAACATCAAGTCGCACTGTTGCCTCATGAGAAGTCCACAAATTAGAAAAGCAAAATTGCTGGTTTGCTTCTCTGCATCCTACAGCTCAATGCTTTGCCAGATACGCCTACTGCTTGTTCCCTTCTTCCCAGCCCATGCTCCCAAATTATCTCAGTCCGTTCGTTTCTACTCCCTTGCCCTACATAGCAGGTAGGATAGGACAAAAGTCACTGGTATGTATAATTTCCTTCTTTTAAGCCCAGTAAACTGATCAGCTAAGGAATGATCTTCTCTGCTGCAGAAATATTATTCAAGGTAGAAAAGTGAAATTGTGGCTGGGAGACATTTTTTCCTTCTTTTTTTCTGTTTTCCATTTCTGTATTCTTGTCTGCATTTGTTGTCACTTTTCCTTTCTTCCTGGCCAGATTTTCCCCTAGGTTACTATTCACCATATTTTCATTTTTTTATTAATCTTCATACAAATAATTCTCAAAGATTCTATTTCATCTTTTTTATTTTTCCTTTTGTTAAACATTGATTATAGCTTCTAGGCTCTATCTTTAACCCACGTACTAGGGTTGTTTTGACCTGTCCTTCACTTGTCATTACCTGTCCTTTCCCTAACATTTCAGTGTATTCCTCTGCACTTGCTCCCTATTTTATGTTTTTTCTCGTTCCTCTTTTCTTTCTGTCCTTTCATTTCCCCCTGGTTTTCACCCTTATTATCCATCATCTTTTGATAGCTACGTCCTCCACTGTATTCTTCTTCTGTGTCTCCATCTTCCCTCTCATCCAGGCTTCTTGTCTTGATCTGGGAATTGAAATCTGTGTGTCCCTGTGGAGAGAGCCCACCATGGTCATCTGCCCATTCTTTATCAAAGTCCTGCCTTGGGGTCATACAAGTGTTTGCTCTGGAGAATGCTCTCGTCTCTTCCTCCCTCCTGCTCATCCCTGAGCATTTCACTGCAGTATCAAAAATGAAAATGCCAAACCTTTTAAACTGCTGAGCTGGGATAGCTGTGTCTGGAGAAGACGTGAGAAGAGAAACAGGATGATGTTAGGGTCATGAGAGGAACTCTTTGCAGGTTGCCAGTTGGGTTTATATACAACCGATTTTAGCAATTGCATGAGACCGTGGGGGATTTGTCTTAATTCTGTACTGTATGAGTTAACCTGTAGTAATTGCAGAGTATGATGAGTCCAGGCTTTGGGCATCAGCTGCTCCATGGACTGCAGCAGATAACCAACAGTAGTGGGCTGCTGGAGGAATTTGCAGCTTTTATTTCCCTTACCTGTTCTACTGTGGGCTGTGCTTCTCTCAGCCCTGTGCTGGCATCTACTTCTTCAGCTGAGAGTATGAGATATACAGGTGATAGTTTAGCACCGGGCTGCAGGATTAAAGATTTAGGAGGAAAGGGATTGTGTGTGTTCTCAGTACACCATAGATTAGGGAACATCCCATAAAGTTGGGCTGATGCTGAGCTTTTTGGATGACGGGAGACAAGCTTATGTTTTTCTGTACATCACAGGGGCACCCTGTTTAACACAAGAACGAGAGAACTAAAGAAGGCCACCCTGCCTGGAAGCTGTGTGATCCATCTATCTGTCTGTCTATCCCATAGCACGCACTTCACACCGCAGAGGTCTGAAGATGATCTCAGTTGTGACCACAGTCTCTGCTTTCTGCTTGTTTTGCTCATAACTAACCCTGGTGTCGTTACAGGCCATGGTGTCTGCTCATGTGGCCGATGCATTTGCCAGGACGGGTGGTTTGGAAAGTGGTGCCAGCATTCCAGGAAGTGCAACATGACAGAGGAGGAGAGCAGAAGTCTCTGCGAGTCAGCGGATGGCATATTGTGTTCGGGGAAGGGTAAGAACTGGCAGCTGAGCTACCCCATGTCAGTGCTCCGCCAGAGGATCGTGTTTTCTGGAAGACTAATGTGCATGACAGTGGGTTGTTGTTTAGTAACCCTTTCTTACAAAGGCACCTATTATTAAAAGGATGTTATATTTGGCTCCGTAATGCACTTACATCCATTTTGTCAAACACCCACCACAGACAGCCGTGCATGTTTAGCAGCCTTGCTCTCCTATGCAATTTGTTAATAGCGTATAATTTCCTGTATGTGTTTATCTGAAGGTCTGCATTGAGCAGCTGTACATTATAAACTAACTGTCAGTGCTCCATCCGGTTTGAGGATCAGGGATGCTACCTGCAGTAACACTGCAGTGGGGAAGATGGCAAATGTAGTATCTCAGGCAACAGTAAGAGGAGGAGAGTGTTTAACAGCAACATTTGGTACACTTAATCACTCCCCTCCCCAACACAGCAGCAAAGGAAAGGTAGATGTCTGCAGTCCCCACGACAGAAGCCCTCAAACTCTTTCATTTACTAATTTTTATTCAGGTGGTTGCATCAGCTTCAGTCCAGCTATAAAAAATAGCCACAAGGAGGAATAAAATTTAGAAAATCTTGATAATTATCTGAAATTGTTCTCTGAGGTTCTTACCTTACAGTCTTTCAGGCTAGTAAATTGCATTACTGGAAGGAGGGCTTTTTAGCTCCCCATAGTGCAAACTGCCTAGTTTTGTACGTAATATGTCTGAAAGACAATAGACAAAAAATAGGTGGTGGGACTGGCTTGAGGCCAGTCACTCCAGACTGAACATGCCATTTCATCTGCTTATATATCCCTTGTATAGGCAGGGAAGAAACCTGCTAGCTGGAAAAAACAGTTAGGAGGCTTCTACCTCAGGCAGATTTCCAATTGTCCCTTTGGTAACTTTTGTTTCAGTGCAAAGGAAATTTAAATGTGGCTTCCAGCCTGGCCTTCTTCCATATGTATTATCACTTATCAGAATTCTCCCCCAGTGCACCAATTTAATCTGGGGTGTCCGTCACCGTCCCCACCCTTGCAAGGTTGTTGCAATCTCATAGAAAATTAGGAAGTTGCACTGTTTCTCTACTGTTTCCAGAAGATGTGGCTATCTTTAAATTAGTGTCTGTGTAAGAGGTTGATGAGTTACTGGAGAAATGGAGTTACTCTGTTTTACTGCAGAAGTTAACTTTTCTTCTTTAAGTCTCGGTGTCCCTGTGATTTTTTTATATAAACCATGAAGGTGAGCAAATATGCTTAAAATCAATAAAATGCACTAGATAAGATTCTAAATAAACATAAATATGACAAATTATGTGGAATTTTAAAACATTTGTATTATCTGCTACCCTTTTGTAAGGATGGCTGAGAGCTATTAATTCAGCCTGTGGGTCTTACTCTGAGAACAACTAACTTTGAGCATGTATATCAAGGTTACAATTTACTTTGAGGCTTTGGCAGCAGATAATCTGACAGGAATTTGCAGAGACATGGAGGGTTGGGTTGTTTTTCCCCTCTGTTGGCTATGGTGCCAGGGGCTGGTTTGGGATCTCTGGGTCACTGATGTAAGTTGGAGCAGTCTGAAAGTTGCTCTAGGTTGTAACCAGCTGCAGGCAGGTCATGGTTTTAAACCTAACTAACTGCATGAATGGAGGCTCCAAAAGCATAGATTTTCTAAGGTAGTAGTTCTCTGTTGAACGGCATTTACTTTCTATGAGAATTACAAACCTGACCCTAAATCCATATTCAGCTACACTGGTGGGATTTTTTTTTTTTTTAAAGTTCCATTGGTCTCTAAGAACAGGGAAGCTTCCAATGTGACGAACAGTTGCCTTGAGGACAGTCAATATAATAAAGCTGTGTCAAATTAGATGCTATAGTGGCTTTATTGTGGGAAACGCTGGTCATATGTAAGTGCTTGTCCCAGCAGAGAAATACCTACATAAGATAGCTTCAAGAAGTGTGTGGCCAGTAAACTTCCAAGGAGGTTGCCTCCTGTCTCTTCTCTGAGCATGGTGGGGATCACAGGCAAAACCAGTCTAATTACTGGTAACTTCTATGCTTACTTTTTTTTCGCCCCCCTCCCCCTTCTTTTTTTTTTTTTTATTTGAAGCAAATCTATTCTTGATGCTTAAATTTATATCTGGAAATCATGTCTTACTGGGTACCCATACTTTAAAATGGTATTCATAGCAAGTGTAACCGGCAATATCCAGAGGCCAAAGTGAAAAATTGTTCTTTCTGTTTCATTACATTGAGTAATAAGTAACCATTACTGGTCAAATGAAAGGGAATTTTGAACCTGTGCACTAATGGTGGTTATTCTGTCTGTGCTAGAAACCTAGCCAAGATATGTAAGCGTTATAATGGATTGAGGGAGCTTGAGTCTCTGTATGTAGGATTTAATAGACTTTAAGGAGACCTGGTTTTCAGCAGATAACTGCTGAACACTTCCAGAAAATTACATTCTGTTAATATAAGCAAAGTTGGACATCCACATTCCCAGGCTCTTTTCGAAATCTTGGCTCGCTGACTCTGCCACCTGTAGTAAAAGCTTCCCAAGGAAAACAGCAACACCCACCATGCTGCTGCCTCCCTGGCAGTAAACGTAGGGCTGCAGATGGCTACTGTAATGGTGCAGGACACGGCCGAGGTAATGAGCCAAATCCCATCCAAGAGGATCTGGCCAGGATCCCAGGGAACACCCTGCAACTCATTAGACTCATTTTAATTAAACTGAGGAGCCTCCCAGAGCAGCACGCTCTGTACGGGGAAAAGACTTGATACATTCGTTCTCCCTAACACATTTTACATCATGGACCCTGATCTTGCTTGGTTGACTTGGTGTTAAATTTGCTCTATCTTCTGCAAAATAGTTTTAAACATCATGGGCATCCCTCAGTCGCAGCATCAGCCCTTGCTTATGCAGAATCACTTCAGGTTTCTTACAATATCATGCTCTTATTAACTGCTTTAATTTCACGAAAAGTCTCATACTATTCATCATTATTTTCAGCTGTCAGTACCTTGTAGTTTGTATAAACAGAGACATTCGGTTTAAATTACCCTCAAGTCTGTCTTAGTGTATTTCTTATAGAGCAACCATGCAATATATATGCTATCCTCCACTGCCTCTTTATGCAATGGCACTTTTTATCCTTGTAGGGAATGTCAGTATTTTGTGTCATGGCTCAGCAAGCAATACATAGAACTCACAGAAAAAGTAGATGCTTAACCAAATACTCCCATCCCCAAATGTTCCAATCCCTAGCTCTTCCTGTATATATTTACATGTTCCATATGTTATGCGTTAAAACAGCGTTTCTCTAAAATTAGGCAATGAGTTCATTTTTGTCAACTTACAGTAAACACTAAATTACATACATTTAAAATTAAAAAATAGATATTCTGCTGAGGCTGTTCTGAAGTTTTAAAGAATTAATTTTCAGTGATCAGAGACACCAGTATTTATGAGGAAAACCTAGGCAAAATTGGTTGATATCAATAGATCCATATTCTTTTTTAAAATGTGTATTTGGATTTTTACTATGGATTTTATTCAGAGGTCACTTAAAAGAATGGAAGAAGGAAAAAAACACATTATTTTTTACACTTTGGCTCAGGCCCTGTTAAGTAACCCATTAATTCTGTTTAGGTTATATTCTGATAACCAAGCTTCTTTCTATATATTTTTCTTTAATATTGCATTAAACACATAGGTTACTTTGTGCTGGAATCATTCAGGAAATATGGCGAAAGCAACAGCATCTAATTTATTTATAAGCATATTCTGTTAAAGGTCGACAGCTTCTTTGGTGATTTTTTTTTTTTTTTTAAAACTCCTCCTCCCTTAATTAAAAACTATGTGTGTATTCTTTGTTATCATTTATTTGGGTTTTGAGATTTTTGTATTGATTTGTGCTGTAGCCAGTTCTTAGGGCTAGGTCCACAGAAGGATTTTTGCTCAGCAGTCAGTAAGCACCCCACCTTGGCGTTTAAGTGTCTCAACTCTGTCAGGCAGCTGATGGTGGGCTCTGTAAAAGCCAACTCTCTTCAGCTGGGTGTTGGAATCAGCCAGGAGGAAGTACCATCTCCTAGTAGCGTTTCTAGTTGCAGAAAAGCCTCTCTCGCACCCTTCTCAGGCTACGGACTTCTTGACACACGATTGTCTGGGGGCAACTGTCCCTTTCTGGGATTCAGACCCATGAACCTTCTCCTGAAGGCAGGGATGTCTCTGAGCCTTCCCTTAAAGGGAGGTTTCTGGTGCTCACTGGGTTATGGTATCACCCAAACGTCACCATAAAGTCCCTTCTTTGTCTGTGGGGGTGTGACCTGACATCCCTGAGGAGGAGGAGAGCGGCTTATCCCAACAAGAGGTGTTGGGGTACTCTGCAGGAATAAGCAAACTGCTTAACCCCCGTCATGTACACAAACTCTTTCTGACCTAGAGCAAATATTTAGTATTTCTATGGGAGGTGGAGCAGCTTCATTTATGGTGATGAGGATTTTGGGGGTCTAAATGCTAGTCTTGGGCACCTCTGGTCTTGTGGGGACTCATCCCTAAAGGCTTTAGATGAGGAGGGCCATTTTCTTCCTGGGTATGATTTTATTGCCTTCAGTAAGAGTGGGTCAGGGAAAATTTGAGCTTTTCTAGTCAAAAGAAAGAATAGTTACTGGGAAGAGTAGCCCTGATTGTAGGTCTCTGAAACCAATGGAAAGCTTCAAAATGTGAGTCCTGATTAAATGAAATAGCAAAATCAAGCATAAGTAGTAACGTCCCACCATAGTCTAGCTCAACCTAAAAAATTCCTTTTATTCAAAAGGATTTTAGCTTGATTATTTTCTTTTATGCAATAGCTTCTTAGGCAGCAATTTTGTGCATATGGACACGTGTGTGTGTGTGTGTGTGCATGTGTGTGACTGGGGCTGTTATTTTCTAGTCTGAAAATGCCAGTGCTCTTTCACTGCGAGTAATAATTTTTGTGATTTCAGGTTCCTGCCACTGTGGAAAGTGCATCTGTTCACCACAGGAATGGTACATTTCGGGCGATTTCTGTGAATGCGATGACAGAGACTGTGACAAACATGATGGTCTCATTTGCACAGGTGCAGTACAGGCTAACACTTAATTGCTCTAAGAAACAAACTGTGTTGATGGGACTTGTGTTAGACAAAGCCCAGTGTCGTCTTTCTCCAGTGACGGGGGCAGTGCATTTGTTGGTTATTCAAACCTGCCGTAATTATTTCATTGTGCAGCGTGATAATCAACTTAAGGCTTCTAAAGAACAGTCGAAAGCCTGACTATGAATTTAAATAAGTAAGCCAGCTCTGAAATCCATCAACAATTTTCGCTGTAACAGGCTACAAGTTACTGCTTTTTGGCAAAGGATGTGCAGCGTCAGCATTGTGATCATGAGGTTTCTTTAGCTTTTGTTGTCTTACTAGACTTTCTACGTGTATAATGCATTTATGTCATAGACAAAATCCACTTGTCTGATGATCTTTTGGTCGGTGAGAGGCATAGTTGTGAGGGTTGACAGAACTGCCTGGCAATCGGACCATTCTCAGTGGCAGGCTGAAATACCGCACGGTTTTTCTTATGACGTGATGGCTGGTGATCAAAGCGGCTTCACCTTAACGTTGTTTGGGAGTTCAGGTGGCAGATGGGGACAGAAATGGGCAGGCCGCCAGCAAACCCTCATGAGAAATCTGGTGACAAGAAGCAACATGGGAATTGCTAAATTAACTCACTGGCCGCTTCCTGTTACAAATCTTAATTTTAGAAAATCTTTGCTGAGCAATTATTAGACGTGGAGGAAATCTGCAAGCTGATTACAGTGAGAGTGGGAGGGCTGACACTAGTCAATTGTGTCTTCCAACTCGCCCTATTAGCAAGGGTCCTTTTGGGGGGCAAGTAGCCAGTATAGAGGCGACAGGAGCCTTATCTTCAGCTGCAGTGGCGAGTCACGGATCTTCATAAAGTCAGTAGGAAGAGAAGCTCGACTTGGGAACCCAGGCTGTAGAGGTCTCAAGCTGAGCATCATGAAAAATATTGAAATGAAATGAAAATATGGTCTCAGTACTTAATGTTTCTCCACTGCAAAATAGGGTCAACACATTTTTCATCGAATAGAGTTTGAGATATTATTTATTTGTACAGTACTTGAGAATTTAGATTTAAAGTTTTTCATGTTGAAAGTGATGTTTTTGTTGCTATTCTGCTTGTACCCTTTTATATCTTTTTTCTTTTTGCATAACAGTTAAAAATAATCTTGTTTTCCCTTGTACCTGGAGGTACGGTGAACACTGAGACTCAATAGCTGGGTACAAATAGCAGTGGCATAATTACAATATTTGCAATTCTGCTGATGGAATTATTGAGAGAATGCTACTAATCCTTTGTAAGTGTAGGTTTGGGGTGGCTTCTTAATGCAATGGTACAGTAATTGCTTCCTTCCAAAGAAGAAAAAAAAAAAAAAAGGTGGGGGGAACAATAAAGGAACAATGCAACTACTTTAGCATGGCTTTTTCCTCCCCATAGAACACATTTTAATGTAGTACATTTCAATTATGGTAATTGCCCTTTATTCATTTTGTTCTAGGCAATGGTGTTTGTAGCTGTGGAAACTGCGAGTGCTGGGAAGGATGGAATGGAAATGCTTGTGAAATTTGGCTGGGGAGAGAATACCCTTAACAAAGGACATCAAAGAATGAGGAGGTTTTCGATTGTTTCTCTTTAGGCTGCTAGAACATTTAATTTCGGAAGTATTCAGTGTGTGGGTGTGGGTGTGCATGCACACACACGTACATGGGTGTAAATACTTTAGAACACTCATTTGAGGGCCTGCTCCTTAAAGAAATGTGTGGCAAAACTAAAATAAGAAAATTAAAAATGCCTTGGAAGCAGGACAGGCCAAGCTCTAAAAAGTGAAATCATAAAATAGTGTCTCAGTGGAACTTCTCCAGAGTTTTTTGGTAAATTCAGTGGGACTGAGATGACATCCATAGCGCCTATTTCTTAAGCAACTTTTGGTCTAAGCAAGTCTTTTTTTTTTTTTTTCAACATTATTTACTTGGTTGTCACTTCTCCATATCAGTATGTGACAATATTCCTGTAGAAGAGTAGCACTAGTTGAATATTTGTCAAATAATTAATTTGATTAATTTTATGGTGTTTGAAAAATACATTGTTTGGCCCTTTTTTCTTTGTAACAATCCTGATTATGCACCAGCTCATAAATTGAGAGAAGCTGCAAATAAGCTTATAAAAATATTAATGATTTTTTATTTGGTCAAAGAATTGTATTTATATAACTGAGGTCCAATTACCTGACAACCACAGGCTGAAAACCAAAAACATTTGAACAGTCCCTTCTCCACAAGAGAACTTCTTAGTTTCTGTGGTTAAAGGGTCAATAAGTTGGTTATCTAGTCTACATACTGCCATGCTTTTAAATACATAACCTATAGGAGTATAAGGAATGAAACTAATAAAGATATAAATGTATGATTACCTATTCTGAATATGTATCCTGCAACTCATATGTACTTTTATCATACTATTCTATGTATGTACAGTTGCCTACTCCTCTTAAAAGTAAAGCAAATGAAAATTTGTTATACTAATAACTTTTAGGATGACAATTCTGTATGCTATTAGAAATCACTGTTTGGAACAGATTGCACTGTCACACATGGTATTCATTGAATTTAACTGCATTTATAGAAGTGGGGAGCCTGAAGGTCAACTGACTTGAAAAATCAGCTGTGCTACACAGTAGCCTGGTGTCAGCCAAAGATGTTCAGACAATGGCAACAAAGTAATTAAAGTTTTAATACAGTAAAAACAAACAAAGCAGTGGTATGAACAAAAATTTTATTTTTTATTTTCCAATGGTGAAATGCTGCTCAGTGTGAAATTCACATTGAGTTATGAACGATGCACAACTATTGGGACTTCCCTAACTTATTTACATATAAGTCTCTTATGTTTTTGTACATGTAGTTTTGGCAGCCCTTGAATTCTTTAGAGCAAAAAAAAAAAAAAAGATACATACATTTTAGTTTCAAAAGTGTTTACATTTTGTGAAACCATGAGTGAGAAATTGCTTAAATGGCTGGAAAATACTTCTTTTTAATACCAAACTGGAACATTGTGGTTTAGGTGCCAAGGTCCTGATTTTTGAAGAGGTACATGATTCAGAAATAAGGGAACCATATATCAACCAAAAAAAGGTATTTCCATTATTAATCTAGAAATTAGTTTTCTTTTAGAAAGGACAATTTTGAAATAGGAAAATTGAATGGTACAGAACATGTAATACAAAGCAAAAAATTTGAATGAATTTATTTAATAACTTTTATTATTCCCCTTCCTATGTAGCTTGCTCTTTCTCTTAACTAATTTTTTTCCTTAACCTGGATTCTTTCTTTCTAAAAATGAAGCTTGTGAAACCCGTGATCTCAGGGAGTATAATCACCAAACATCCATGCATAACTTATAGAGCAGTTATGCAGACAAATAACAAGACATACATCCCAAAGCTGCTAGCTGCTCTCTTTTTAGACAACCAAAATATCAGGCAGAGTTCTACAATGTATTGATACAGTATAAAGAATCTTCAAAGTAAAATTCATCTTGAAATTATAATTTATATTTTATACTTATAACCTTTAAATTCTGTAGAGCTTAACAGGAATATTTTCTTAAATTTTAACATATATGCTTTTTGTCAACCCCGGTGTCTGGAAAGCCCAGATTGTTGGTTTTATTTATATTTATGAATACCACTGACCTGATCTTATAATCGATGTTTTTTCGCATATACATTTGTCTGCTGAATCAAAGTGTAAACAATGAAAGATACAAAGTTTTCCTTGATTTCCTTCCATTTGTATTTAGGACTGGAATAAGAAAATATTAGATAATCAAAACTCTTATCTAGGTTCAGTAGATGCTTTTGACTTGTTTCATGGCATGATAAGCAGATTTATATATATGGTAGATCAGCCGTGGTATTTCAGGTATTCTTATTCACAGACAAAAGAACAATTCTTTAGGGGGTTGCAATGTCATATTTGATGCATTATGCTTTGTAATCTGCTTTCATTTTAAACTGATTCTGATTTCTAGTTAGATTTTTTTTTTTAAAAAAACAATCAACTCCCATATTTTAGCCACTGGATGGATTACATAACCATAACATTTCAAAAAGTATTATCCAAGTTGTTTGCTAAGGTACATATGGAAAAATATTAGAATATTCTAAGACAGCTACTGTCAGTGGTTCATTAAAATGTAAATTATCAAACAAAACGGTGCTATCACTATAAGCTTTAAAGTATCAACTAAGACTACTAAAATATAATGTATACATAAATTCAATTCCTTTCCTATTCTTATTCTGTTTCTTATAATGTTGCTTGAACATTCCCCCCACTCTTCATGCTGAGGTAACTGGTGATGTAACTCCCAGCAGATCTGTTTTGTGGCTCATTTCCTCACTAGAAAAATGAGATCAGAAGGAATAAGAGTAATATTCCACGTATGCAAAAATAATAGGTGTATTAATAAATTGTGATTTTACACCTCATTCCCTGTGATGGGAATTCCAGATACATAAATTGTAAAAGCAGGAAGATTCGTAAGGGAGCGACACACACTGCCTGATTCTTCACACTTAGTGACTATAAAAACTTGCTTCCAGGCCTGTAGCAAAAGGCAGTTCTAGGTGGTAAAAACAAATTGGATAAACGGGGATTTCATACTGGCTAGATTGATAAGCCTTATAAATAAAAGATACTACAGCCTTGCTTTCTTCTTATAAGAGAAAGAACACAATCCAGAAGTGGGCCGAATGCTTCTACAATAGACTTGCAGGATTACGCCTATTGTATATAACATATCTGTAATATAACCTATAAAACAGCTGTGGTTTGATTTGCTTGTATAAGTTATTAACGTACTTGTGATCCTTTTTTCCCTGGCCATACTCTCTTTTAGAAACACATAGAGGAACATTTAATCATGTATCTGCTCTGCCATTGCTGATGCTCTGCCCTTGCTTCTTTACAGAATGACATCTCGCTTTGTAGCTAAACGATACTGGAATGAAGAAAGCTAAGTTGAATATTTTTGTGACTAGGTAATAGAACAAAAATTTTAATACATCTTTAAAAATAAGCCATAGCATTTGCATTAGTCATCACAAGACCCTCCCCCATTATTAGACATTTTAAAATGCATTGCACAGAAGGGGAGTTTATCTAAGGGGGCCTGTAAAAGAAAGATAACCTCCTTATTTAGTCTAATTTTACTTGCATTCCCATTTGAATGGAGATGAATAATTTCTTCTTTATACCAATAAACTGATGGATCAGCAAGACACACACATGCATTAAAAAATGCACAGACCAAACTGCCTGCTTTCATACCTCATTGTTTACAGTGGTTTTAAACCAAGAGAAAAAGTTTCCAATACGTATAAAAAAAGTCAGAGTTCTTATTGTTGTTTCAGGTATATACCATGGTCAAAGTGGATTGCTTTATGTTATATTTGGGGGGAAGGTATTTGTTAAGAACCAAGCTGACTCTACACAAGTTAAAGTTTATGAAAATGATAGTATATTAAAAGGTTATTTGAGAGTGGCTAAAAACCCAGCAAATTAAGCAAAAGCTTTGTTATGTCAACTACAAAGCACTTAAAAGCTATAGATGCCTTTCTATAGGCTTGATCATGTGAGCAATCTCATAGGGATTCTTGTGTATTTATAAAATTTTTGAAGTACAACAAAATGGTGCTTTGTTGAAGTAGTTCATATCTACTTAAAACTGGATTTCTAAAACTGCAGGTGTGACTGATTTTGCCAAATAGAACTGTAGCTAAAATACAGATTTAAAAAAAAAAAAAAGGAAAGAGATAATGACTATGTGCAGTGCTAACACATGAAATGGTAAGATGAGGTTGGATTGCTGTGCAAACAGTCTCTCAGAGATTAGATAAAACCCAGAAGAAGAACAGAATACAAAGCAAGCATGCTGCAGATTCACAGACAGCTGGACATGTAAGTACAAAAAACCCAATCTGTAAATACAAATTGATTCCATCAGGTTTACTATACAGTACTTTAGTAGTAACAGACAGTTGAAAACAGCTTTCACTTAACAGCAAAATTAATTTTAGAGGGAAGAAAATGGTGAAGTCTCATCCTGGAGAACAGCAAGAGAGGTATCATATTAAGGAGCTAAAATTTTCTTTGGCATGGTAAAAGGGGAGAACTGAGTTTGCCAACGTATTTACATGAAGTTTCACCATCCTGTGGCCAGTGCAATGATGTTTTGCACAGTCTACTTCTTACATAAACTTTTTTTGTTGTTTTCTGGTATGCCTTCATATAAATGTTTTATTCATCATGTTGAATCTGTGTATACAACAAATAAGAATAAACACAAACTGTACACTGCAGACAAACTCTTTGCATATATGTATGTAAATTTAGTAATACAGACCAACGATTCTCTGATAGACACAACCTACTACATGCAGTTCATCCTTCCACCCTCTTCCCATGCAACAGATGAGACGACAAGAGACAAAATTAAAGGGAGGAAAGAAAGCACAAAGACCCCTTTTCTATGTTTAAACAGATTGTAGAAAAAACATTTTTTAGGACATCTATTCATTGGATTAAACA